GAGCAAGGAATAAGCTGTTGCAGTTTCTGTAGTGCATTTTCATAGAAATCTCTTTCTATGAAACCTATTTCTATTTCCTATCTGGAGTTTTGAATTTGACTTTTTGTTAGAAGGTAACATTTAACAAATCCAACTCATACCAGGCATTTACTCAAGAAACAGGCAAAAACACTTGATCAAACCAAATCTTAGTATTAGACTATGGCCGTGAGCAAATTGTTGATGTTTATATATAAATGGAAGTAATTTTTATTTTTCTTTATAGTAAACGTAACATATTTGCTGTTTTTTTTTAAAATCAAACTCTACTAAACAAAGTAGAAGAAAAATAATAAAGATACTGATGTGACAATTCTAAGTAGAATAATTGTTAACATTTTGGCAGATATAAGTATAGAAATGCATACCTACATAGATAAAAAAATGAACTATCATTAGACTTAGGTAATATTTTGTTACTCTAACAAGCATTATGGATCTGTCTGAGCCCTTGTAGTTTTATACTTTACAAAATACATTTATCAGTATATTATATGAAACTTGTAGTTTATTTAAGCAGTTCCTTTTAGATGGACTTACAGATTGTCTATATTATTAGCAGAATTTCTGTGTATAGTCTTTTTTATAATTTGCTCAGTTCAGTTGTTTATCAAGATGCATGTTTATTACCAAGCTTGACTACAATTTCACATATGTATATTGACATTTTAAATTACTTGAATAATCATGAAGAAAAATTTTTTTTCCAAATTTAAGAGAATTTTTGGTTTACTCGCACCTTTGTCAGCACTACTTGGTGTTTACCAGTATGAATAAATGGTATCTCCTTCTTTTGTTAGCATTTTCTCAGTTGCTCATAAGTTTAATATGTGTATGAGTGAGTTTATACAGAGAACTTATAAATACTAACTTAATCTAAGAAATAATCATAGAATTTAAATATTACCAAAAGTAAGGGATCAATGAAAATACTGTATATCCAACTTTAGTAATACCTAAAACACTGGGTTGCAGTAGCCTTGAGTATTCATGCAAGAAAAGAGGAAAAAATAAAATTACATAGTAAGCATTCACCTTATTTTCCAATATAAGAAGTTAGGCAGATAATTAAACAGAGAGGATCAAATGCTTATGGTTTTGTTCTTTGAAAAAAATCGTAAAGCCTTTCAGCAAGATTGAGGGAAACAAAAAAGCACAAATAAAGGATACTAGAATTAAAAAGGATTTAACTGTACCAAAACAAATTTTTAAAGATTATTACGAAAACCATGAAGAATTACATGCCAAATTAAGTTAAAATACTTAACAATAGAAAATTTCATAGGAATATTTAGTTTAGCAAAACTGATTAAAGAATTAGGACATCAGTTGTATTAAAACTGATTTAGTGTTCTAGAAATCTGTCTAGCAAACAAGCAAGAAACAGGTCCACATAATTTTAAAATAAGGTCTTCTGAACTGTCTTCCAGAGAATTTAAGAATGAAAAGAAATTCCTGACTTGTCCAATGTGTCTAGCATAATCTCTACACCCAAACCAGATAGGACAGTATAAGAAAAGACTAGTATAGGCTAATTCTACTTCTGTATATAGGTGTAGCAGTCCTAAATGAAGTATTAGCAAATCAGATACATCAGTATATTTTTCAAAAATTATGACTTAATTCCTTTTGGGACATAATATGTATACATGTAAAAATAATTTAAGAAAAATGTATAAGAATGATAAAAATTGATAGTAGAAGTTTACTGTGGAGGGGAGGAGGGATGAGAATGTGATAACAGGAGAAGTACCTTCAGGGAAACATAAATTGTGAGGTTTAATTTTGAAGGTGAATGGTGGGTACATAGATGTCCATTGTAATATTCTTTTTGCTCTTTCATATATATTAAATATTTCATGCAGTAATACTTCAGTTAGCAGGCTTGACAACTTGTGAGTTACTTTAAAATACCTGATGATCATTATTATCCAAAGAACATGTGTGAAGACATGAATTGGTGTGAATATACTATGTATACAACCAGAGATATGAAAAATTGTGCTCTATATGTGTAATAAGAATTGTAATGCATTCTGCTGTCGTATAAATAGAAAAAATACCTCATTTTCTGTAGAATGGCTTAAATATTCCTTTTGGAGCTATACAAACTAGTAAAAAAAATAAGTATAATAGCACACTTTTCATACACATTTTCATGGATATTGTGTTAAAGGGCTTGTTGGGAAGAAGAAGGTTCTTTCACATTCATATGAAAATAGGTGGCTTTGGTAATGTTTTCAGCCTTGCTAACAAGTTCTTTTTTTTTTTTTTTCATTCCTAGAATAAAAAGAAATTGTTTAGATATAGATATGGGGTTGAAATGTTGGATTTTATACCATTCCTTTCCAAATAATAACTGAACATTTACTCTTTGCCAGATGCAGTGTTGAGCTGTGGACACTTACGGACACATACCATATGTAATATGTAATACCACATTTAAGATGTGGTATTTGACCTCAAGAAGCTTAAAATTTGTGGGAAATAGATGATCTAGGTGCCAAATCATAGATAACATAATAGAGGCCATTTGGAATATTTCTTCCCAAGTAGGAATTAGTTTTTACCATTTTCTTATAACTATTTTGTTGTTTTAATTTAAACAAAGTTATATGTGTATATTTTCAGGAGTACTGTAAGCATTTTGAACTACTATTCATGTAGACATTTTTAACCCCCTGATGTATTATTTACACTTAAAACTGGAAGAGATAAAATAGGCCCCTAGATGCTTTGTAGAAATTGAAAATTGTCTGTTTCACTGGACTGCCTTTTTAGTTACCCTTTTTTAAAAGGGTATATGTTTAAGAAGTGAATATTTGTTAAATGCCATCTCTTAAGATGGCAGACTTGTTTTTTAAGCACTGCTTTTCCTATTGTATTTTTGATTATAGAAACTTCTTATTAAAGCCATAGTATTGTCTGAACCTGCATGCCAGTTTACTTGTCTAAAATATAACCACTTTATAATTTAGACTGAACTATTCCTATGACTTCATTTTTAGAATTTAAGTTGCTGGCATGTAAAAACCGTTGTCAATCTTGGATTAATTTCAAGGCTTCTTTGCATTCATAAAGATTTATTTTACCTCTTATTTCCTGTTTTTAATCCTACATATTGTCCTTGTATGGTTCCCCTCAGGCAATTTAGTAGCTTTAAAACTTCAAGTAGTAAATCTGAGTCAGTTTGTTTTAACCTGTTTGAGATATATATATATATATCTACATATATATATATATATATATCTCAAATATATATATATATATTTAAAGTATGTCATGAAACAGTAAACTTTATTTATTCTTCATTTAAAGTTTCTCCTTAAGTATTTGGTTTTTGTAGCCTCAGAGCTGTGTAGGAGCTTATATTGGGCCACATATAACAAAAACTCAAAATGAGGGGAATTGATTTTCTCTCACACATATGAGATCTAGAGTTAGGAAGTACAGAAATAATAAGAGCACAGCATCAGGACCAGGCTTCTTCTGTCTCATTTCATTGTTCCATGGTCCCAAATGGCTATTTCAGCTTTAGCGCTCATAACCAAATTCCAAGCAGCAAGAATGAAGGACAGAAAGGCAAAGGAATCCTTGGTGGCTTAGCTTGTCATTCTGAGCAGACATCCCAGGAAACAGTAACCATTTTATTTGTATATCATGAACCAGAACATAGTCTTGTGGCCACTTAACTGTGTCCGTTGCCAAGGAGCCTGAATTCTCTAGTATTTTATTTCTATTACAGTGTACCCAGCTAGACATCTGGATTCTGGTCATTATAAAGGAAGAGTAAAATTGATGTTAGAATAAGCACCCTAGAGCCTCTGCCTCACAGTTATTTCACAGTTTTTGTAGAAAAAAGCTTGGTAGTGATCAGATGGCTTGATAAATTGGCTATAGTATAATATAATCATGGCAAGTAATATGAGGAAATCTCTGATCTGCCTGTTGATTTGTACTTTCATCAACAGCCACTGTCATTTACTGTGTTGTTATTTYCCAAATATATGTGTTTCCTACTTTTCATACATTATTATCATTTTCAAAAATTTTTATTCTAATCTGGGGATTGAACCTAGGGCTTCATGGTTTTAAGCAGCATTCTACCACTGTGCGACACCCCCAGCCCTCTCATTCAGTTTTTATGCAATATTCACACCACTCTGGTAGGCACTATTTCATATTACAAATGACAGTACTAAGCACAGCAGTCTCCACTGCCAACCTTGCCCCACCTCGTGTACGTAGAAATGACTTGGGGTAGCTCAGACATACACAAGAAACAAAAACAAAATTATATGCACAGTAAAGGGAATATGGGAATATAAAAGCAAATCTAGTGAAGTGTGGGAACAATTGATAGAAAATTGAATGTGGTTTTATAGAGATGTAAGTAGACTTGCTCTGTCTTGTTTATCTGCTTTATTARAAACTAAAAGGCAAAAAAAGAAGGAATTTTCTCTTTGATCTCTTGGCATGCTTATTGTTTTAGTCATTTAATAATTCAAATCCTTGTATAGAATACTAGTTTTTCATATTCTGTCTTCAAAGAATCATAAAATAATCATAGTATATTATTATATTTGCTGATTTGTATGTATGTAAGGTGAGAGTTAGAAAAGGCAAATATCCATTGTTTATTTTTTAAAATGCTGAAACCCAAATAGCATTTTTTAGCTGGCTATAGATCATGTGCTTAGTAAAATGTAGGGCTTGCCTATTTATTTATATCAATGCTGTTATTATAAGAGTCTTGTAAAATTAATATTGGTATTGCATAGCTATTTGTTAGACCTTTGCTTATACACACAAGTATGTTAGCTCCTTGAGGACAACAGAGTTTGCCTTATTCATTTTTTTTCCTCTAGTGTCCTTGGCATAACAGGAAGTATCAGTGAGTAAAGAATTAATGAATGTCTAGAAAAGGAGTTTAATGACTTTTATTTTGTTTTATTTCTCAGGATGTGATCTTCGTGGCCAGAAGCTAAGTTTTAAACTACCCCAATGGATGCAGACAGTGATGTTGCATTGGACATTCTAATTACAAATGTAGTCTGTGTTTTTAGAACAAGATGCCATTTGAACTTAAGAAAGATTGCTTTGGAGGGAGCAAATGTAATTTATAAGCGTGATGTTGGGGTAAGTATTTGAATTTTGTATGTGTACTATCATAACCTAATTTTATACTTCTATGAATGATACTACAGATAGTTTATGAATACCTTACTATGTGCTAGTTGTACTCCATAGGTTGTTGAGTCCTGAAGACAGTGGCCCCTCCTCTCATGGAGGTAGCAAATTTTGGAAATTACCTATCTTTGAGTCTTAGCAAAGAATTCATTGGTTAGACATGTTATTCTCTCAGTTTTTTAAAAATAATTAGATATGTGTTTATTAGACTTTTATCTGGCTCTGCTGACATATGTTTCACTCAGAAAGATAGCATTCTTTAAGAAAGCATCATTAGAACTGCTAAAATTATCCTCAGAAATAATTCTAAAGATTGTTTACCAGTCACCCATCACTAGTTTGATAATATTTCTGGTTTGTAATTTATCTGCAAAGCACCTTTTACTTGTAAAATGAGAAATCATGATTCCTGTATATACTTCTACCAGGATTTTTGGTAAATTTATACATCTATACCTGTATAGATATATACATTGCTTTGTGTATTCATATAACTCTGTTGAATCTACAAAAAGGCCATGCATTTTAGGAAGATTTTACTGCTAAGGTGACAAATCATCACTGATTCTCTTGTAATTTCAACTCCAGAATCTAGGCTAGGGCTGGGGGAGTAGGCATGTGTGGATGGGGAGGGAGAAAAATGTGTTTCCTTAGTGTTCTTACAGCTTGTTCAACAGGCAGATCTCTCAATGTCTTTGAACTGAAGAAAGGGACCTTTATATTTCAAATGTACTTAAATTTAATTATATTTGAATAGTGCTCTAATATATACTTTTTGTAGTATGTTAGCTGTCATAGTGTTATTTAGTAGCCAAGATAGATAGATAATTTTCTTTCTTGACAAGTTGTTAAAAATAATACGGCCCAGAACATTAAAATTTTAGTTTTTATTCAGCTTGTAACATTTAAAATAAAAGCCTTTACTATTAATAAGTAGTAATAAAATGTAAGGGTTTTGAGATTAACAACATAAATAACAATGGATATTTATTTATTTGGTTTATATAAACTGAAATTGATGAATAAATTAATCTTATATATCTATTATGAAAATTAAGAATGTATCTGAAGGCTTTCTTGAAGCTCTAAAAATTAAATGCCAGTGTAACTAAGTAAATTATCATTAGTTCTTAGTACTAGAAACAAAACTAGAATGAATTAAATTCAATTAAAATGTTCCGTGAACCACAATTAAAGCCTTTCTAGTTCACCAGTGATATGATTTTCCCTTTAAAACAGGAATAAATTTGTCTTCTAAAAAGTTTAGAAAGGAAAATGTGAAACATTGCTCTAGTATTTTAGCATGATGACATGGAGAGATTTTTTTTTTCTAGGAAGGTTGACTGAGAAGTTTTAGGTGATGGAGAAACTGGTGGTGAGAAGCATTTAAATGTAATATAAACTCAGTCCAATGTTTCTCAGTCAGTTGTGTATGAAATTTTATGAGGTATTTTATTCATTGTCATTTTTGGCAGTTTTAAGTCTCTCCAAATTTAGTAATGTTCTAGTTTGATAATATTGCCTATGACAAAAAAACTAAAAATGTAACTAGAGTTTTAAGGAGACATGCCTGATTTATTATGTTACATTATCCCAGTAAGCATTTATTTCTTTCTTACACATAATAATGGACATGTAATAAGTATTTCCATAAATCAAAAGTTAAAATGAAAATTTAAATTTACATATTATCTTAGACCTTAATCCTTGACCTATTAATTCAGACTGTGTAGATAATTTTGTTCTATCCCAGACCTTTAAATGCCTTTTATATATAAGGAATCTAAAATTACATTTCTCGCTCTGACATTTCTCTTGCTCTGAAGATTTCATTGAGGAGCTTGAGCATGTAACAGGCTTCTCAACTCTAGGATGCAATATAATGTAGCGATGGGTACCATGAAGCAGAATAAAGCAGGGCTACAAATTAGAGAACAGTGAAGGAATGGGTGTTGCCATTAGATTGATCAGGGTCKGTATGGAGGTCATGTGTGGTGAGAGATCAGAATGAAGTGAAGATATTGAGGGAAGAATGTTCCAAATGTAAGACACAGCTTCTCCAAAGCTCCTGATGTGCAAACAGATTTGGCATGTGTAAGGATCCATGAAAGTTCCATTGATGTGACTAGAGTAGAAAGAGTTGAACTGTTTGTTTTTATAGTTTGTTGATACCAAGTATGTAGTGAGAAATTTATGTGGATCTTGTTTTTTAATTAATTAAATATTTAATGAGATTAATTGTGTTCTCTATTCAGTCTTGAACTAAATTTCATTTTGGGTGATTTAGAGAGAAGTTAACTTTGAATAAGCTTGGAATAATACTTAGACATTGGCATGGCTACACAAAATAGAACCATACATGAAAATTAACAATCATTAGGTAATCAGATTATTTTTTTTCCAGAAAGTATTAATGAAGCTTAGAAAACCTAGAATTACAGCTACAATTTGGTCCTCAGGAAAAATTATTTGCACTGGAGCAACAAGGTAAATGTTTCTTGGATTCTTAGTTTTTTATTTTTTACTTTCCCCCCATGGAAAGGGTACTTTTCGTAGRCTTAAAAACAAAGTTCTATGTAAAGTTGGTTATGTTCCTCAGTATGAAGTATTTTTTCCTGTGTAACTTGGTCTTTTTCTTTCCTTAAAACATAGTGAAGAAGAAGCTAAATTTGGTGCCAGACGTTTAGCCCGCAGTCTGCAGAAATTAGGTTTTCAGGTAATATTTTCAAAAATTACACAAAACTGCAAATATTCAAGGATTTATTTTTGTAAAATAGAATTCGTATGATTGACTTTTTCTGAGTTTTATATACTGCCCTTCAGCATGAAAATTTGGTAGCAAAACTTGGCTATGTGGATATTTTAAAAAGATCCTGGCTTTTCCTAATCTCCTTTCCTTTAAAGAAACTTGTTCCCTTTCAAGTTAATTGTCAAAAATGCCAGACCTGCAAGGCCCTGGTGACGTGGACACACTGGTTAGCAGGCTTATTGCTGTCGGCCTTTTCAAATATTTGTACAGACAAAACTTTGAAATAAATTATTATTTATTATGAACCTGCTAGATCACTTGCAAATGATGACTAAGTGGAAGAGAAGGGCGAAATAGTCCTTAAAGATGTGGGCCAGGCTGTTTGGGATTTGGATGTTTATAGTGTTGGGAAGTTTAGTTTCTTTCTGATGACCTTAAGTCTTAGAAGGAGCTGAACTGCTGATGGGGAGTGGGGTTGGAGAGTGGGGCAGGGCCTGGGGGATGCTGGCACTTGAGGAGAGTGGCAGTAGAAGTCTAGAGGTGAAGCTACGTGATAGTGAGGCCACTTGACACTTTTCTGGCTTTCTACTGCTTTGTGTAAGTAATACTGACTTGGAGGATAGACAGTGCACCCAAAATTGTGGTTTTAGGAGGAATGTTGGTAAAGATAAGGAGATGAAACAATTCAAGATGTTGGTAGGAGTGGCTGAAGTTATTAATGTGAAGAGAACATTTTCAGCCTGGGAACTGCTTTTCTTAGAATAGGATTAGAAACATTGAGGGCAAACCCAGCTTTTTAAAAACAGTGTATGATTCTAGACCCCAAGGAAAATAAACCTCTAGTTACATTCAAGGAAATGTCTTTTTACCTTAATGATTATTAAAAAAAYATCTGACCTTTGGAATCCAATGTACAGTCTCTCCATTTACTGACTTTTTAAAGTGACAGCTTTTCCATTTTGACTCCTTAAGGAAGAATTAATTTAACTTTTTCCTTACTATTCTTGTTTCTTTGATGGTTCAAACTGTCTCATTTAAATTAACAAATTATATACAAGATTTAAAAATCCTCAAATGTGCCATTTTAATCATGCAGATATCTCAGATTTTACTATTTTTTTAAATGAAGTTTTTGAGCTTTTTTTCTTTCATTGAATTACAGCTTTTAATACTAAACAACTTATAATACTAAATTCATACTCAGGATGTTTGGTTCTCTGTATAAGAGTAGAAAGTTAATAAAGAGTGYAGATTCTTTTGTTGCAAAATAATTCACTGAGTTTCACTTCTCTCCCAAAGGTAATATTTACAGATTTTAAGGTTGTTAATGTTTTGGCAGTTTGTAACATGCCCTTTGAAATCCGTTTGCCAGAATTCACAAAGAACAATAGACCTCATGCCAGGTAGGTCTTTGAAGAATCAAGATAACTTAAAAATTTGAGATTACCCATCAGACTGTAAATATTCATATTAATTTTGGCATTTTTAAAATATAGTTATGAACCTGAACTTCATCCTGCTGTGTGCTATCGGATAAAGTCTCTAAGAGCTACATTACAGATTTTTTCAACAGGAAGTATCACAGTAACAGGTAATGTGTGATGTTGAAACCAAACTTGTCAATTATAGACCAAATAATATAAGAGATGTGTACACTAAGATAGAAATAATGCCTAATTTGTCCCCTTTCAGTCACTACTTCTGCACTTCAAGGGCAGTAAGTCTTCTGACCTTTTTTTTTTTTTTTTTTTTTATGAGAGAGAATTTTTTTTTAATATTTATTTTTTAGTTTTTTCAGTGGACATAACATCTTTATTTTATTTTTATGTGGTGTTGAGGATCAAACCCAGCACCCCGCACATGCCAGGCGAGTGTGTTACCGCTTGAGCCACATCCCCAGCCCTAAGTCTTCTTTTTACCTTATCATAGATAAGTCTTCCCTCCTTTTGTATTATTTGTACATTTTATATCCTGTTTTGTGTCTAATTTCATTCTCCATTATCTTAGTGAGATCATTCATTCTCATTGTTGTATAGAATCCAGTGTCCGAATGTACTCCATAGGCGTTTCATTAGTTTTCAGATTGGAGCTTTTAAGAACATTCTAATATGTATCTTCATAGTATTTTTTTAAATTTATGATATCTTATAAAAAACCCAAGAGAAACCCAGTCTCTGAACTTCATAGAGATTTTACATAATTAGAATATCCAAATATAGTTGGTACCTATTTGTTACGTGTGTTTTGTTATATCTTTTGAAATTAAAACAAGTATTTGGGAAGGAGTAGTTTTGGGAGACTAGCAAACATGTCAAAGGGCAGCATTAGCATACAAGATGATTCTTAAAGGTGCTGTGATTGTGAATCAAGCAGAGGCATTGCATGAGAGCCAGTAGGTGCATGTTAGGCAAAATTGAGTTGAGGAACAATTCTTTAGTCTTGCAAAATGGCTTTTTATTCCTTTAATTCTTAGAGGAGAAACATTAACAAGTAAGTTTTAATTTTGACCATCTGTGGATTTTCACATCTTCCTTGGGAACTTTTAAAGCCAATTGCCAGGATCCTGCCTGAATCTTAAAAACTGGGTGGTAGAGAACAAGTCTGTTCGTTCCCTTTCAGCTATCTGTTTCTATACTTTGAAACCTGAACTTCTAAGAATATCTACAATGTACTGTTAAGTCCTGCTAAATATAGAATTAAGAACTCATGTGTAAAAATTTGTTTATTGAGTTGATGGACAATTAGACAATATAACAACAAATTGAATACAGTTGACCTAGTTAATTACCATGCAATATACATGGACACCTGGAATATCCTGTGAAATGTTAACAATTCAGTGAACACCTTCTGAATGGTTTCTGTAAGGAAAGTTCTATACTATGTGGAGGGGGTGAGGTGAGGTGAGTCAGAAAAGAGCAGACCAATACAAGACATGTTCAAAACCTTCAGAGTCTACAATGAGTGGATCTTGTAAATATTCACAGTTTTTCAAAATGGGTAATTATACATTGGTGAAACCATTTTATTCAAAATTTTGTGAAAATATTTTTATACCTTTTTTTTGGTTTGTTTTTAGCTACTTAAATAAATAAAAGATTATATTTTTAAAAGTTGTTCCAGAGCTGTACAGATTAATTTATATGTAGCATTACCTCACTGCCTTCCCCACTCATTGATTTGGATAAACTCTGAGGTTRCACGGACCAAATTAGTAATAAAAATGCATTCCAAGTAATAGTAARTTTATGAGGAATTTTAGACTACATAGTATAAAAAAGCCAATATTTCAATAGCAGCTTTATTTTACTTTGCTATGTTCCTCCATATTCCTCTGAGTCTCAGTTGTAGTCTAACCAAAAGCTAGAAAACAGTAAACAAAAAAGATAGTGGGTGTCTAGTCCTGTGTGTTATTCTTCCCTGTGCATATTTTTGTGCTTTTTATTCTCCTCCATGATGGGGTAGTTTTGTTTGTTTATTTTTACTTCTTTTCATACTGGTACCCTAAAACAAAATGAATAACACATTTGGTGTTTCAGATTTCTTTTAATTATGCACACACAAAAAATTGTGTTCTCTGATTCCTATTAAATTTTTTTTCTTGATTCTTTTTGTGGTTGTTTGTATGATGATGTATGTGAATTTGATATTCTAAAGTAGATGATATTTTTAACTGAAAAATCAGTATTTCCTAGCTTCTCAGCTCTTCTCAACCTTTTCAATTGTGTTCATTTCAGGGCCCAATGTAAAGGCTGTGGCTACTGCTGTGGAACAAATATACCCATTTGTGTTTGAAAGCAGGAAAGAAATTTTATAACTCATCACTTAATTGGTTAGAATCTCTAACTGAGCACCTTTTAAAACCTGCTGCACATTGGACTCAAAGCAAAAGGAAAACTGGACCAACAGTAATTGAGGAAATAGACTCTTTTATTCACTCACGGCTACAGTGTAAGCTCCAGTCCCTTTGGATTTTATTTCAAACTTTGCTGTAATATAAAAAGGAAGTTTACAAGACATGACATTGCTGCTTTTACAAAAGGACATTCTATTTATTTTCGCAGTAATTCTCATGTCCCCATAAGCAGAGCTGTCACAATGTGCACTACCTTAAATTGTTTTATTGTTGTCATTGTAATTTTTTTCCAGTTTGAGCTAATGTGTTTTATTTGTGAATAGTCTTTTACATTTTTGTATGCTGAATATGGGCACCAAAGAACCTGTAAAAGTTATCTTTTTCAATTGAATGTGCACAAATAAAAGTTTGGAAAAGATCTTTATTCATATCCATTCTGTAACTTTTATTCCCCATTTTCTATTTTAACAAAAATTGTATTCATAATTTTTTTTTTAAATCTATGCAAGTTTAGACTTTGGCTAAAGTGTGTTAGCTTATTTTTGAAGTGTATTTTGTATATATATATATGTATATGCTGTGTGTGTAAAGTATCTTTTCATGCTCTGTTACCAAATAACAAATAGGAAATTTTTTTCTTGGGGATTAGAAGTAAACACTTGTATATACTCTAGGGAACTGGGTAGGACTTTATAAAGGATAATGTTTTATGTTGCTAATTTAATATGATAGAAAATGTTAAATAACTTTTAAAAGTTAAGAAATTGTAGTTTTTAAAAAAGAAGCCTCTTTCCCACTAGATGAATATGAGAAAGAAGCTGTGATGGGTGGTACCTCATCTGTTACCTTTGTTATTCTGGAGAGACTCTGTAGTTGTAGGGAAGTGATTAAGGTTCTTGGTGCTCAAGGCTATATTAAGAGTCCTGTCAGAAGTTGATAACATTGTGTAGTTTTAACAAGAAGTGCCCACAAGCTGCCTCTGTGCCACAGTATAATTATAATATAGTTGAACTTGAACTTGAAAGCCATTTTGCAAGTTATGTCTTTCCCTTTACTGTGTTTTATTTAATGGAGCTAAAGAGTGGCAATTCAGTGTATAGGATTGCAAAGCTTAAAATTATTATAAATAAGTGTTTATGAAGCAGTGGCCTCTGGCTCACCCTGAGCCTTGGAATGGTAGCACAGGATCGATCAGTCTGCAGTTGCACTCTTCTTACATGTAGGAGTTTAGCATAATTAACAGTGGTTTTACCAAGAAATACAGCTGTGTAGAGTTGAATCAGCTTCTCAGTAGAAATTTAGTAAAATCAGTATTCCAACTGTGTCCCGAAAACCTGAATTACCAAAATGTCTTGAAACATTTGTAAAATCTTACAACATCTGAACCTTCATGTTCAGTACATTTTCCATACCATATTATAAAACCTTGAAAACCTAGCTTAAGCACTGCACTGAACAATATTTTCTGTATATTTTTATCTTCTTTCTCTCAAAGCCTTCCCCTACCCTGTCACTCCCTCAAATGTAGGAGGCAAAAGCTAACTTTTATACTTTATTTCTTATGAAAGATTCAAGTGTGTGTGTTTTCGAATTTTATTCTTTTTTTTCCTACATTTGTGTTTATTTGCTTCATTTCAAGATCAGTAGGATACTAAACTCATAAATACAAAGAATATTACTAGATGAAAGAATTATAGGTAGACTTTTTTAAATTTGAGATTTTTCCACTTAGTTTTAATAAACAGTCATAAGTAAACTGTCCTGCAGTGTTCACAAAAAATARTGGGGCGGGGGAGAAGAATTATACAACTAAGGTGCAGATCCAGGTAATTTAACATTTTCAGTATTCAGATGACTTGAGAACCTTGCAGATCAGTAGAAATGAAAATGTTTTCTCTGATGGAGAGGAAAGCTAGCCTGAACAGGTCTGGATTTAGGTTGCTACATGTATGCTCACCACCTGGCAGTGTTTGTGGGTGATCCACTAAGCATGACAAAGCTGGGAAGAAGCAAGTGTGTCTGATGTCTTCTGGCTTTCCACAAGTACTGTACATTTTTTATATAAATAAAAGCTGTGAATATATACATACAAATTATAAGTATTACCCCCTTTTTATTTTTGAAAACCAAAAGGCTTCATTTGGTGGGTGGGGGGGACAAGTATTGGGTAAAAATGAATCTGAAGACAAAATGGCCTGCTCACAAACTCAGGATGATAAAAGGAAAATATAAGAGAATGTTTAAGACACTGAAGTTGAAGTTACTAGTAGTAAACCTTCTTGGTTTATTTTCTGCCCATTTGCAATGAATGGCCAAACCAAGAAATAGCTTAAGTATAAATGGTGTTTGAACTTGAAAGGAATTATGTTACAATTTAAAAAAAAAATACCTTAAACAATCTGTGATGCTTAGAAAAAAACAAACAAAACCAAGATAACATGAAAACCTGACTTGTATTTTTAAAATCCTGGCATGTAACTCTTAAGTTAAACTGATCCTCTGCAGAACACATTTTGCCTTCTTGTTCCAAAACAAAAGCACACTCTAATTTGCATAGGAGGGAATCAATATCTATTTTGCTCCTTCCTGCCAACTTTTAATTTTAGATGGTACATCTCAGAACCATACTTTTAGTCATTTTCCTGAGTCTTTGATATTAATGATTTACTATTTATATAGACTTATAGTCTTTTCCACTTTTTAAATAAGAGAATTTAGTAGATCATGTACCTTTTATCAAACTGGGACAGTTTGTTAGCTAAATACTGGGGTTTTGATACAAAGGATTCTCTTATGATCAATCATTTTTAAAAATTATTTTTCAAGTTAGGTTGTTCATGCATTAAAAGTTTWTATGTGTCTTCCATAGTTTATATTAGTAATCTAATGGGTTTCTACTTAAGTGGTTCTAGATTCTTTATTATAGATTTTCTTTCATTCTGAATTCTCTTGATGAAATACTTATCTAGTCTTAAATTCAACTGGAGAAATGCAGAATAGAGCAATTCATTACTGTTGGGTAAAAATCCCACTGGATGTTTGCTGGTTTGGTTGGCCATCTCTTGTTTCATCACAGAGAAGAACATAGGGAATGGTCCTAATTTCTGAATGTCATTTATTATGTCTGTATTGTTCTGAATGTCAGCATCATTTATAGCCTCTCTGCCATAACCTGAGGTAGAGATATTCCTGAGACATGGGAGGAATTGCAGGAAACCATGGATTACTAAAAATTAGGAGAGTCTTCCAAGGAGAAAATTTATAGGTTTGACCTACTAACATAAACCTAATTGCTTAGAGATTTAGATAAATAACCTAATGGACTGATTCCTTTTCTGGTGTTTTACTAATAGCTACTTCTAAATAAATATGGTCCCAAGATTTTAAAATTGTCCTCTTTAATCATTTAAAAAAATGGAAAATGCTTATTTTTCTCAAGTATCACACAGAATTTTCTTTTAATATTTTATATTAACATGAAAGTCATAATAGTAGTATATATTTTGCATTAAATTTTACTTCATAATKCATAAGATAAGCTCCCATAATCTTTATTCTTGTAGAACTGTAACTAGGAATTACCACAAAATCCTAGCCAGGAGCCTATCCTAATCTAGAACACGTGTGTAACTAAATTGTCTACATTGCGTGTCCTGGTTCTTTTTTACACGAGACCCGGTGCAAATAGTATCTTAGTAGGCAAAAATGTAAGCTTGGATCCAGAACACTTGAATAATAAAGCTGCAACTGGCCTCCATACATAGCTTAAGGCAAAGGTTGATCTCCTTACTAGGATTTAGTCTTTAAAAGCCTTCGGTGTGAAGGAGAAAGTATTGAACCAGCCAGTGTTTTCTTTAACCTGATATCTTGCTCCAAAAAAAAAAAAAAAAAAAAAAATTAGGGCCATGTATCTCATCTACCTTTTGAGATTCCTTTGGGGAAGAGGGAATTAAAGGAAGTCTATAATTTCAGGTGTCCCTTTAAAAATAGCTTACGACACTGAATAAAAACCTGGGGGTGGGGAGAGGAGGGTAAATATGCCACTGGTAGTGCTTTCATCCTGTATCAGCATTCCTAAGGCCTTGAGACCATTAGGTCTCTGGAGAAAGCTGCTTTGGTTGTCCCCTTCCACACAGCTTTTTACACTCCAGGAGCTGCTCTTGGGGTTTTCTTTTTTGAAGCTGTGTTGGCATTAATTCTTCTTGGTGATGACTCATAAAACAAATGTTGTTTTTCACATAGTTCCTGAAAGAGAAAGAAGCACTCATGAAAATGTCATTCTTAGTTTCCATACTTGAAAAAAAATAGGCATGCTGTTATTTTTTAAATCACCCTGGAGTTTTAATGTTTTGGCTATGCAAAAATGTTTTATTGTGAAGCCTCTTATATCATGAAATATATAAACCCTAGAACCTGGGTCAATTTCATGCAAAAAGTAAGGTGTAAGTTAGGGTGTGTTCTCAGAACACAACCCCTATGACTCTGCAGGCCAGGCTTCCAAGGGTTAGAAAGAGAACCAAAGTGAGGGCTAGGGATTTAGCTCATTTGGTAGAGCTCTTGCCTCACATGTACAAGGAAGGCCCTGGGTTCAATCCTTAGTACTGCAAAAAATAAAAAATAACTAGTGGAGATTTTATCCCAAGTCCTATCTCATTTTCTTCCATTTCTCAGATTCCACCACTACGCCTGTATTTACATCTATATATTTTGGCTTCTTTATTGTCCACTCATTTCTGCATGAATAAGTTCTTTTCTACAAGGTTATTCCCACCAGCATAAAATATGCTTTAGTATTTTATCTTTATTTTACAAATATCTTTCAAAGATCTTTTTTCTATAATTTAACCACTTAATCAAGCGGCTGTGCCCTGGTAGGTGGAAAGGATGGAACTGCATAAAGACTCCTGCTTTCAAAGCTTAGGTTTTCCCAGGGGAGACAAGCATGTAAGCATATAATTTAAGTAAAAGTGCTGGTGGGAAAAGTAAGCAGTAAAAAGGGAAAAGAATGACTTTGGGGGAAAGATTGTATCATACAGTAACATGGGGCCGGGCATAGTGGCACACTCCTGCAATCCCAGTGGCTTAGGAGGTTGAGGCAGAAGAATCATAAGTTCAAAGTTAGAGGCCCTAAGCAATTTAGCAAGACCCTGTCTCCAAATAAACATAAAAAAGGGATGAGGATGTGGCTCAGTGGTTAAGTGCCCTGGGTTAAACCCGGGGTAGGGGAGGGGAGGATTAGGTCAGAAACTGGGATAAGAATTCCAGTGAACTGAAAGGTACAAGCAGGGATATTGGTTGGTGCTTGGGAATTTGAGTCTAGGGAGGTACTTTTTTTTTTTTTTTTTTTTTTAGTGCAGAATAGTGCAGTTTTTTGTGTGAGAGAAAAAAAATCCCACCAAAGAGGAGATGGATGGTAGTGGGTCAGTGCACAAATGAAAGCATGGGCCTTAGCATCACAGCAGAGTAGGCACAGATGTGGGTAGGTTAGTAGATCTCATGGCGAGAGGATGAGATGGTCTTTTTTATTTCTGTTTTCTCAGTACACTAAAAAGAGTCATCAACAGAAAGTGGGAGGCAGTTCTGGAGGCTTGATGAGAGAATGTAGCTGTGAGGTAATCACCTTGTAAAATAGGAAAGTCAGCATACCAGGGAGCCACAGTAGATTGCAGGGCATTACTAAAGACCTGCTTGAAAATTGTTCTTGTAAATTTAAAACAAGACTGGTCAGCATAATTGTATGTTTTCTACAGCTACATTTAGCTCCTCAGATAAAGGATAAAATAAGCTAAAATTTGGTTTAATCAGAACTGAGGTTTGCCCGAATGATAGACAGGGGAGGGCAAGGGAAGGGAAAGAGACAGGAAAGGGAGTGGCTCTGGTGGCCATCTATGCACCTGAACAGCAGAAGAACGAAAGAAAGTGAGAACATGGACGGTGGCTGTCCAGTGGTTTCCAGTTCTGGGAGGTTGTCAAGATTTGTCCAAGTGCAGGTTTTTGAGAAAGTAAGCCAGAAAGGAAGGGTGCAAAAGTGAGTGGGATGTTGGTGAATGGTAGGAGTGGTGGGTAAGGTCAGCGGAGGGTGTGACGACTTCAGGGAACAGATTCTAGCTGGTGTCTTCACTTCTTTCTCCATCCTCTTTGGTCACCTTCTGTCCTTATTCCACTGACATTTAGCCTCACAAGCCCGTGATCACCTCCCTGTTTATACTTGGCCTCCTTGGTCTTGCCACTTAAAACAAAAGYCTTTTGGCCTCAGTGACGTGTATTTTAGCTTTCCTCACTACTTTCCAGGCCTTTCTGAAATTCCCTCTCCTCTGCTTGACCCCTGTGTGTTGACATAATCTAGGACTTGGTCTTGGGCCTCATTCCTTTCTCTTTGCTCTCCGACTGGATGATCTCTGGTTTTATAACTTCAATACCACCTACAAACTGATGGCCACCCACATTTACTCTAAAGGGTCTCCAGAGTTTCAGACTTACATATCCAACTGCTTACTGATCTATATCTTTACTCAACGTCTAATGAATATATCCAAAACAGACTCTGTTGTCGCCTGCACCCTGAAGCCTAGGCCTCTTTCGGCTTCCTTATCCCATCATCCGTGCAGTTTCTCAAACTAAAACTTGATGTGTCATGCCATGCTAATGTGTCATGCCAACTACTCCATTGCCTACGCCTGTATCCAGTTCATTCATTCCTCCAACAGAGAGCTTCAGCTGTATGCCAAGGGGCTGGGAAACATCAGTGAACAAAATATACAAAATTATCTGGACTCAACAAATTTAAACGTAATGAGATAAGCCAAGTCAATGAGTGTTTCAGTGTGGGTTAAAACTGAAGTTGGAAAGTCTGGGACACAATAGTGATCTTAAAATAGGGTGACAGAAAAAGTGGAAACTGGAACAGTGAGACAGGTGGATATCTAAGGGAAGGAAACTAGACAGAAGACAAATACAAAGCCCCTGAGTCTTGAGCATGCCTGGTGAGCCTAGGRTATAGCAAAAAAGCCAGAGTGGCTGTGAGAGTAAAGGGGGTGAGGGGAGCAGAGTAGGGCTTTGAGGCTGTGGTAATGCTTTTATGCTAGATGGAAAGTAAAGGGATCACTCTGGCTGCTGTGTAAAGAAAAGATGTAAGGGGGATGAGGAAGGGAAAGGATCAGGTAGGGTGCTAGTGCAATAATACAGAAAGGAGTTCATGATTACTCAGATCTGGGTAGTAGCAGAAGATACACTCTTTAAATAAGAGTCAAGACAGCGTCCTGATAGACTGAACATGGGGTGAGAGAGAGACTGATTCAGGGAGACCCCAAGGTTTGTGGCAGAACAAGGAGAAGTAAAAGTTTGACAACTGAGTAGAATAAGTTTGGCAAAACACAGGTTTAATTTAGGACATGCTAAGCCTATCTGGTAGACATTCGGAAAGCGATTGGAGTCCAAATTCAGGAGTAGATCTGAGCTAGAGATAAACGTAGATACTAACACCTAGACTGTAAACTTACAGTCCCTGGCATATTGATAATACAGACCATCGAGATCATCGAGCCAGTAAGTGTGACAGAGAAGTGGTCACAGGACTAAGCCCCAGGGTTCACCAACTCTGAGAGAGAGACGACGGCCCTAGCTGAAGCTGAGTCAGGGACTGGTGTGGACCCAACCAAAAAGTGAGTCCTTAAAGGCAGTGAAGCTGATATTTTGGCAAGGAGGAYGGACTTCCCTCAGTCCAACCATGGGATGGTCGTGAAGATGGTGTAAGAGGAAGAATAAGACTGAGAGGACTTTAGGGTGTTAAAAAGAGCCATTTCAGGGTAGTGGAGGCCATAAAATCCTTATTGGAGTTGGTACACAAGAAGGATGACAGAACTTTAGAAGGACTTTGCTATAAATACAAAAGCTGGAAAGAAAGGTGCAGTCAGAAGACCTTATTAAAAATATGATGACTCAGGGGTGGGCAGAGAGAATGTAAAGAACAGATTGGAGAATGTGCTAGAGAAGGTGAGACGGGAGGGCATGATGGGGTTGGCCTCTCAAGAGTGATGGAGTTGATACTTAGAACCCTGAGGGGTGGGTGCAAATACTGGTGCATGCGTTGACGTGGAAGCTGGTGGAAGTTCCTTCCTGATTATGTCCACTTTTTTGGCAACCTGAAAAGCAAGAGCATGGTTAGATACTGAGGAGGTCCAGAGGTTTCCAGAGAAAGGTGGTATTGAGCAGTTGTCCAGGGCAGAGGCAGACTGAATAACCAAGGGGCATGTGTTGGCAGCACTGAGGGTCACTTGAGGTCAGTGGCCATGACCGAAAATAAGCCTAGCACTGTACTTCTGTGCTTCTCCACTCAGCTAGGTGACTGCAGATGCTCATTTGGACRTACCTTAGCATGCCCACTGGGTCCTGTCACTGTCCCACTTAGAACCTTTTAGTAGCTTCCCTTTGCATTTGGAATGAAGCCCAAACCCCTCAGCCAGCCAAGCCCTACTCAACTGGTCTCCACCTGCATTCTCACTTAATTTAAAGACAACAGCCTCCAGGACTTCTTTCCATTCCTGGAACAGGCCAAGCGTGTTTCTGAGTACCCTTTGCACTTACTATTCTCTGCCTGAATTCTCTTTCCTCCTGTCTTTTATTATCACCCAGATTTTATCTTAAAAGTTACCTCTCAGGGTACCTTCTTGGATTATCATTCAAATGACCCCCTAACCACTTAGACTTACTCTATTTTCATTCTTGTGGCAGTTTTTCTGACTGATAGTGTCTCAGTACCTAGAATCAGTACCTGGCACATAACAGATGCTAAATCAATATTGAAAATAGTCTCATGAATGAATGAAAGAATGGCCACATCACATTGACTGTTAGAAGTGAAATGTAATTTAAGCTTTCGAACTAAAATATTTATAACACATTAACTTGTTTGGKTTTTTTTTTTTCTATTTATTCCCATTGAAATGGGGGGCCGGGGGAGCAGAATAAAATCACAGTTGAAAAAGCAAACATGGCAAATGTCCCATTCTGAGTTTGTAGCTGGCAGGGCAGATATTCTAAATAAAATCCTTTCAAATTATATTGTTGGGGAAATCTTTTCTGACCTCTCAGCTGARTCACTGTTTATTTTATAAGAAACTTAACATCCTTGGAAGAATATTTGTTTTCTCAGCTTTTTAGAAATAGAAGTAAAAGAACCCAACTCCAAATGTGAGAGGAAAATATTAAGCAATGTGTAGTATCAAAGTTGAAGTTCATCTAATATT